GTTCCCCGAGGGGATACATACCTAGAGTTTGTTTTGTGAACCACGTCTATTCTCTTTTGGGGAACGTCTTCGTGAGTCTCTTCACGCGGTCCTCAGAGCTCTCATGCATCACCATGTCGACTCTTGCCTTTTTCTTCCTGCCTCTCGCACTCTCTTCTCTTCCCGCTGTCCTACCTTTCGTGTCTCCCTCCTCTCAAGTCTTTCTCAGCTGGGTCCAGCCACATGATAGATCTTGAAGTTGTGAACAGAAGTCTGGTAGGCGCACAATTGAACCCAAGCACCCAAGCAATTGAACCAAATAAACATTTGACATCTAAGATAGCCAGGTCAACCTGTCGAACGGAAGGTTGCAGGGGAGCCAATGGGGATTGTATCGTGTATAACTATTCCATACCAGCACCGTCCAGGATTCCAAGTGGTCTCCAATGGACTACCCCACACTATCTGTGGATCTCCATTGAACACACCTGTGAAAGTTCAGGTACATGGATGCGTCTGGATACATGTATGATACAGTAATGTTTGGATCATCAACAACTGAAGATAGGATGTACCCCAGTCCCACTATCGAGATTCCGTTAGTCTAGACAACGTTGACCAAAGAGATCCTCGACTCTACCGTAAGTGGAGCCCATGCAATTATCCTACCCAGTCCATGCCCGCCTTGAAGCTTTGTGTGGGGTGAATTCTTTCTTCGACAAAGAAGAAACGAAGTGGACCAAGGCTTCCCTTGAGATCTAAAATGCAACTAATGAAATCAAGCTTCACCTTCATCCAAGTTTGTGTTCTTTGCATCTCGTCATGTTGCATCTCCGACTTCAGGACTTCGGGGCGGCTCGAAATCCGCCGACGCATCAAATTCGGACCGAGTAGCGAGGCGCCATCGCCCAGGTGCTGCTCGAGAGGAGCCATCTCTTCGAGGCGCCGCGATAAACATCAGCGGCTGAGGCTTAAGGAAATGTGTGGAAACGTCCGGAAATGTGGGGGTCATGAACCTGGTTTTGGCCGATCCGTGAATGGGGGTCAATCATCAGGAAAGAGTATGAAAGAGTCTTCACGCCCCGCCGAGCGCTCCGGTTTTGCATGGGTTTTGCATGGTTTTGCAGTCCCCGCGGCCACCCTTAAGCGCTCTGAAATTCGTTCAGATCCGGATTCTTCAGAGTCAAGGCCTATCGCTCCAAACCCGGACAGTTGCAGGTAGACGGACGGGAGAGCTTGGCGTTGCGGAGTCTGGGCTGAGGCTGAGAATCGGATCGACGCTCCATGTGGATCAAACAAGACCCCAGGTGGTTGCCACCCCGTGAGATCATGTACCAGCACCTTCCGTTCGGGGTCATGAATGGAAACCTCTACACTGCGGAGTTCACTCCAGGCAGGTCCAGATAGATCAATACGTCAGTCATAGAGTCTCAAGGATTGTTTGGAGACGGACCAAGACAGTCTCAGCATGCCTGACAGTTGCCAGGTGCAGCTGGACTCCAAATTTCAGCCTCATGTGCGCTTGATTTCGAGCGGTGTGGACCTTTCTGCCTGGCAACTTGCTTGCACAACATCTTCATGGACCGACTTCAAGTACAGAAAATGATACATGACCCTGTAAAAACAGGTAAGTATAGACTCCAGGTTCAGACATCACATGACTGATGCCTAGAGCAACAAGAACGCAAACTTCATTTCAAAAATAGGACAGCCCGGGTTGTCTTAAAGAATGAAATCAGTAAGAGAAACAGGGTGCAATGGACCACCAGGAACTTGGGGGTTGGAATTCTTTATAGGTGGATAGGTGGACCCTGATTTTTTTGGAGAAGAGGTTTTTGAGCAATATTGAGTGTGACTCTTGATCTGCAACATCTGTGTTGAAAATGACAGAAATGGCTCAACACAGAGAAGCAGAGGTCATTCCATGTATATGCAAAGATGATTATGATTCACATTAAAACATTTGGAACGTAGATGAACTGAACGTAGATGGAATACACAACCACCCAGATGTTAGGCAAAATGTTTGGAACCGTTGGCCCAAAAGCAGTTGGATTGAATATGATTCACTGTGCATTTGTCAAGCAAGAGTTGACGCCCCCATTATCCAGCACTAAAGTGGAAAATTCGACTGGAACCCGGGTGCACTGATTCTGTAGAATTTTGAGATTTTTCATGGTCAGTCTTTAAAAAAGCATGCTTTCCATTGATTCTTGAGGCTTTGTGGCTCCAGCGTTTTTGATTTTTTAGTTACATCTATTTACCCTCAAGCCTGGGTTCCTAAAAAATAGAACAGCCCGGGTTCCAGGCCGGATCCGAAGGGGGATATATTGTCACTTTTCGTGGCAGGCGCAGTACTTTGTGCGGGTTTTGAGGTGTGGAAATGCGATTTTCGTGGCAGGCGCAGGTTGCGAGTTGTGGTGGAGGTGAATGTCGCTGTGACATTGGGATTGGCGTGTGCGCGGGCGTTGTGTGGAGGGACTGAAATCGCGAAACTGTTTGGCAGGGTTTCTTTATGTGTGTGTGTGTGCTCCGATGGGGCTTCCTGTTTTGGAGACTTGACGCGTGACTTTTGGAGGAAGTCTCGGACGAAACGCTTGATTGTAAGACTCGAAGTATGAGTTTTTGAGGAATTCCCGTACGAAACGCTCATTCTGGAGACGTGACGGTTGACTTTTGGAGACTTTAGTAGGCCCCCACAAGAGTGTCCTACAAGAGTACGCCACAAGAGTGTCCTACAAGAGTGTCCGACAAGAGTGTCCCACCAGAGTGTCCGACAAAAGTGTTCTACAAGAGTGTCCCACAAGAGTGTCCCACGAGAGTGTTCCTATGAGAGTGTCCCACAAGGGTGTCACACAAGAGTGCCCAACAAGTATCCTACAAGACTGTTTCGCAAGAGTGTCCTACAAGTGTGTCCTGCAAGAGTGTCCCACAAGAGTGCCCCACAAGAATGTCCAACAAGAGTGTCCTACAAGTTCCGCAAGAGTGTCCCACGAGAGTGTCCGACAAGAGTGTCCCACAAGAGTGATCAAGAGTGTCCTACAAAAGTGCCCCACAAGAGTGTCCGGCAAGAGTGTCCTACAAGAGTGTCCCGCAAGAGTGTCCGACAAAAGTGCCCTACAAGAGTGTCCCACAAGAATGCCATACTAGACTGTCCCACAAGAGTGTCCTAGAAGAGTGTTCCACGAGAGTGTTCCACAAGAGTGTCCGACAAGAGTGTCCTATGAGAGTGTCCCACAAGAGTGTACAAGAGTGTTTCTCAAGAGTGTCCTACAAGAGTGTTCCGCAAGAGCGCCGCGCAAGAGTGAGTGTCATACAAGAGTGTCCCATAAGAGTGACAAACAAGAGTGTCCCACAAGGGTGTCCCGCAAGAATGTCACAAGAATTCCCGACAAGAGTGCCCCACAAAAGTTTCCTACAAGAGTGTCCCACCAGAGTGTCCTGCAAGGATGTCCCACAAGAGTGTTCCGCAAGAGCGTCCCACAAGACTAAGAGTGTCCCACAAGAGAGTCCTACAAGAGTTCTCCGCCAAAGTGCCCCACAAGAGCGTCCGACAGAAGTGTCCTCCGAGAGTGTCCCCACAAGAGTGTCCCGCAAGAGTGTCCTACAAGAGTGTTCTGCAAGAGTGCCCGCAAGAGTGAGTGTCATACAAGAGTGTCCCACAAGAGTGACAAACAAGAGTGTCCCGCAAGATTGTCCCGCAAGAGTGTCCCACAAGAAAGTCCGACGAGAGTGTCCGACAAGAGTGCCCCACAAAAGTATCCTAGAAGAGTGTCCTACAAGAGTGCCCTGCAAGGATGTCCCACAAGAGTGTCCTACAAGAGTGTTCCGCAAAAACGTCTCACAAGAGCGTCATAATATAAGAGTGTTTTACAAGAGAGTCCTACAAGAGTGTTCCCCAAGAGTGCCCCGCAAGAGTGTCCCACAAGAGTGGCCCACAAGAGTGTCCTACAAGAGTGTCCTACAAGAGAGTCTCCTACAAGAGTGTTGAAAATTATTTGGGTGTTTTTTTTTCGAGTGCGTGTTTGCATTCGGGTTCGTGGGTTCCATCTTGTTTGGAACACATTGTGTTGCAGCTCATTTGGCTGACATTATTACATGTCTTCAACCAGACACGGTGTTGATTGAACACAGTTTGTTTTGGCTAAGAACCCAATATAGAAAACCCGTAGAACCCCGCCGTTAAAAAAAAAATCCCACAAACCAGTGTTGGCTAAAACATCAAGTTTCCAACCATGCTGAAAAACACAATCTGTTTCTTCCAGGAAGATCATATGTTCCTTGGGGTATGAAGATTTAACAGGTTCTTATTGCTATAGGTGGGAACCACAGCCATATGGGTGTGTAGCTCAAATGTTCCAACCAACCAAACCCGTCTACCAGCCAGGGCCAGGGCTGTCGCACGGTTGGAAGATCTAGGCACCCATCGATGCTGATCAATTCACCACCCCAATACCACCCGTATTTGCAGTTCTACTGGAGTCCTGTCGTGTCCGCGTGATCCGATTGGCGAAAGGTAACCTCTTTTGTGAATTGGGTTCCTCACTCAACAAGAAGAGGCAGAAAGTGCGGTGAACCCTTCTTTTCCAGGAAAAAATCGCTTGGGGGCCAGGTATGGTTTTCGCTTTGTAGAAGGTTTCTCTCCGCCTGATTGTCTTGGTGATCCGTCGTGCTTTCAATTGGAGGAGCATCAGGTTGCAGGGGAGGGGGACTCGGAATTAGATATGCTCACAATGTATACCCTCAACTTCCCACATCGAATTTTAACTTATATGATACCAAGTTTAACTTAGCATTTCCGTAAATACTAAGTTTGACTGGACACACAACTCCATGAAACTCCAACGGTTTTCTTTGCACGTTCGATGGTTCACTTTCAACGTTTGAAGAACGACGCCGGTTCGAATTCAACTCCGGAATCCGCCACTTCAAGCTAAACAATCTGAATCGAGCCATCCTTAGGATAGCATGGGGTCTTCCACCACGCTTGTTAAATCCTTTCTTGCGTGCCCAGCGTTTCAAGACACAATTTCAAGGCTATAGGGTATATATATATATGATCTTCCTTTTACTTTTACACATATTTCAAACACTTCAAACTTTTCAAACAGTTCAATAGTTAATATTTTTCAATATAATATGTCAAACATTTCAATTGTTTGAATCATTTATGTCAATTAGATGTCAAATATTTCAAACACTTCCAAAATTTCAACTAGCGACATGTCTTAATATTTCAAAAAAATCAAGAAACAATCTTTCAATTATTTCAATCATGTCAAGTAATTCTTTTTATAACAATATGTCAAACATATTTCAATTATTCCAAGTATTCCTTTTTCCAATCTTTAAAATATATCAAATATTTGTTATACTTTAATCATTCCAAATATTCCAATAATTTTACATGGTTCAAAACTCTCTTATATATATATTTTTCAAAAAGTTCAAGTATGTCATAAATTTCCGTCTTTTCAGCTTGGCTTAACTATCTTCTCGTGAACGTTTATTTCACCATATGTTTCGCTTGCTAGGCTGCAACCGTGGCAAGCCTTCCGAAGTCTGTTGCCACCATCACTGAGAATGGGCCCAGGAAGAAACTCTTCCTGCGCCAGCGCCGGAGGTGCCCCGGCTACAACCTGTAAGCTAGGCATTTGGTCTGTCGCCTACATGGGCGGGTGCAGTGGAGACTGCAACTTTGTGCAGAATAATCCTGAAGACGTGAAAGCCAGCATTGCTGCAGCGCCCCTTCAAGGAAGAACATGGTTCAGCACACTTCTTCTGTTTGATGAAATCTATGATTTCCTCATGGAGCTTGGGATTTTTGGACACAGCTGCAGTTGCTGCCAAGAAGCAGAGCAGTGCAGGCGCAGACGTTTCAGAGCAGACTCCAAACGCAGGTGGTTGCTTTGGTGGATTGCATGCGCCAACTGTGAGCACAGCGCTAGCAGGCAACTTTCACCCAAATGTTGCAGTGGAGATGCTGCGAGGTATCCGTGGAGACCATGGGTGCCAAACGAAAGCGCGCTTGTTCTTCACCACGGGCAAGCCTCGTTGAGCGGTGCCAAAGCTTTGCAACATACGTTGTCCATGGTGTCGTGGAACGCAGGCGCTGCAAGATGTAGCAAATCCTTCGTGTGTGGAGCTACTCAAGAAGGCTCAGAAGAAATGATCGCTCAACTGCAACGGCATGGACGTCAAGTCTTCAAGGCAAACAATCCTCGGAACACTGCTTGGGTTTTTGTAGCCAAGGAATTCTTGGATTCTGGCACACTGGTGCGTGAACATTTCAAGCTGATGACAATTAAATGCCATTGGTTGCTGTGCGCTACGTTTGTTCAGTTGATCTTCAAGGCACCAGAGGATTGGAAAGTCAAAACAGTTACCCTGGGAAGTGCTCACGTCAACAACGACGTGGCCAAGTTACCTGATGTTGGGTTCGCTCTGCTGCAAATTTCAAAGTTGACTTGATAGGCGTCGACATGAATCAAAGCATGTTCCCCCGCAAAGCGGACATGTCTCCATATCACAGAGCTATGATCGCGCTGCTTGATAAACTTCAGTTTCAAGAGAGAGTTCCTATTGAGCTGCTAGGAACTGTAGATGGAGACTGCGTGGGGTGGATCATGTGTCCGTGGTCTTCTTTTCGTTCTGTTAAACTTGCCCGTCATGGCGCGATCGCTTTCCAACCGTTGGATGTCAGAATACGCCGCTTTGACGGAGATTCACATTATCCATCGTTTGCCGTCTTCGAAATGAGCAACAAACGCAGTCGGAAGCCGAATATGTCGGAAGCAAGGGCAGCTCGAAAGGCAAGCAAGTTAGACAAGCTTGCTGTGAAGAAGAGTTTCAAGAGAAAATGAATACTGACTGACTTTCTATCATGTCTATTTCAAAATATTTTGCACGACATGCCCCCAAACCCTTGGCTGTGTCCAACAAGTTCCTGCAGCCTTATTAAAAACTGCAATGAGTGAAGTAATAATAACCCTTGGGCCCTTGGGGCTAAAGAATCATTAGGTTGCAACTTTGGTTCTAATCACTAGTGATTGGAACATCAAGACGATGTGATTAGCCGGTAAGTTTTAAACACGTCAAGGCCTACGGAAAACAGTTTGCTCAACACAATGTTAGGGGTGGTGTGCAAACAGTTTTGGCCAGCTGTTTTACGTAGATGTACGAAGTTATGTATTTGTCTATCAATCGATATATTAATCTTGTAAAAACATATATATATATATATGGTAGAACACAGAGATGCCTCTTGGCGTATATATATATATATCAGAAGACACCCTGCTCACCCCCTTCCTCCACCTTGCCTCCAAAAAAGATCAAGGTCCCACCTCTCGGCGGTGTGCGCCGCTTCTGCGGCCATCGCCGGGCTGGCAAACCGCGCAGCTGAAAGCCCGCCGGCGCCACTGACGACACTGCCCGTGGAGGTGAAGGAGAAGGGGGATGATGGACCTGGATTCTCACAGTACCCCAGAAGATGGGTGCAGATCTACCTGTTTTTATAGGGTCATGTTCAATTTTCTAAAGTTTCTGAAGTACTTGAAGTCGGGTTCAGGGAGATGTGGGATGGGTCAAACCCTGCAGCCCGACTAGTCCACCATGTAGCGAACTATCCACGCCAGGCCAACTGGTTGAATTTTGTGGAAGAACGTTGTAGAACATCCAAGAAAGTCAATCCATTTTTCGACAAATAGGAAGTACCTCTCATGAATGTTCCAAATTGTGGCACATCAAGGAGGGAATTCATGGAAATTCAACATTTTTTCTGGCACAGGCGCCTGAGACAGCTGCCCTTGGTCCTGAGCTACTCTCCGCGCTGGAAATGCACCTAACACGCCGGAATGGGCAGGGGGACCCAGACGGAATGGACCTCAGACTTAAAAGTGGCAGGCGGTGACCTGTTGGAAGGTGCTGGTATATAGTTTGTTTAATGGGTCATGTCATGTTCCATTTTCTGTGATACGTTGGAGGGTCCAGCCCGTTTTCTCTACCAGGAGCCTTTTCAAACGTATATGACGTGCAGACAGTTGAGTCTTCGGGGGTCGGGATGTTTGTTTTGCTTGATTGAACATTTTTTTGGTTCTCATAAATTACGTCAAATTACGATCTACCTGACATGTGTGTTTGAATGTTTTGGAACCTGAACATTGTGCTTTTTGTACCCATGGTCCCATGGCCGTCACTTTTCAGACCATCCTTCAACCGTCTTCAAATGGAGGGACCAACATCAGAAGGATTGATTCAGTTGGAGTGCTTCGTCGTTTGCGTGGCCCTTTGTCGTTTGCTCGAATTTGAAATTCATTGCCATAGGTGGATACAACCAACGAAGCTTCTGGGGTGGTGGTAGAACAAGACCGCAAAAAAAATTGTTTAACTTCAATCCGGTGGGCCTTCCGTTCGATTCAAAAGACTTCGGTCGACCTGGTGTTCAGGCTTATATAAATCGCTGGTTGGACCCTTGTAAAGACCTTCTCAGATCGTCAGAGCGTCATGCTTGGACTCAGATTCTCCTTCGTGCTGAAACAAGGTGAGCCCGCGGACACAAAAGCAAAAAGAAGCGCGCAGCCCGGGAAAAATAAACAAACACACATTAGCAGGCCAAAACGAAGCATCAGCCCCCTCCAGGCTTCGTGGCAACCATGATATTTCTGTTTATTTTTTTTGGCATAGATTTCCGGTGGCGTGCATCGACGTTGGCATGATCAGGGCGTCGGCCATGACTTGACTGTCTGGCGCATGCCTTGTGCACATTTTGGACACCCAACACCATCGTATCACCCCCGCAACACAGCTCCACTCACCTCCCAACGGGCTTCCGCGAAGCATGGAGCAGCACTACCCCCACCCATGACCCATGCTTCGTTCTACTTGTGCACCCGGAGCAGCCTGCAATGATGCTTGTGGTGCAACCATGTGCTCGACGCAACAATCCTGCCGTTTCGGCCACGACTTCATTGTCTGCCGCATGCATTGTGCACATTTTGGACACCCAAGACCATCGTATAAGCCCCGCAACACAGCTCCACTCACCTCCCAGCATGCTTCCGCGAAGCATGGAGCAGCACCACCCCCACCCATCCTTCGTTCCACTGACCCGGCAGCCTGCAATGATGCTTTTTGTGCAACCATGTCCTCGTAACTCCACACCCATGCCATGCACAATGCACCTCCCGTCTCGCTCCCCTCCATCCTCCCCAGCCCCGTCCCCATCCACCATGTGCCTCCCATCTTCCCTCGCCAGCCCCGTCCCCATTCCCCTCCATCTTCTCTCCCTAGCCCCATCCCCACCCATACCGTCTCACTCCCCTCCATCTTCCCTCCCCAACCCCCGTCCCCACCCATGCGCCTCCCGTCTCGCTCCCCTCCATATTCCTTCCCCAGACCATGCGCCTCCCATCTCGCTCCCCTCCATCTTCCCTCCCCAGCCCCGCAACTTGTGCAACTTGGAAAAGTGGTTCAGTCAACCATGCAACGCTTTTCCAGTGCTTCAAGGCCGAATGGGCCACTAATGCGTGACCCATCGGAGCTGTTGGAGGCGTACAAAGCTGGTATGCGACAGGAGGCCTCTAGGGGGAGACACGCAGTCCACGTTTTGCGTCGGAAAATTTTTCAGTTTGATGATTTCTTCATGTTTTTGCAGGATCATATTGTGATGAGTTTCATCGTGGTTGCAGCCCTCTTACTCTTTGCGCTGGCGCGGCTGGAAAACTCTTGCGGTCAGGTTTCGCATGTTGTTAGCAATGTGCGAACTCGTGCCCTGATAGGCTTTGGCCCTTGTGTTTGCTGTTCTGCACGGCGCCAGGCTGGATGCTGAGTTGAGAATTTCCGATGCTTGCTATGGGTTGTTCGTTCCTTGCATCGTTTTGGACTGCCGGAACGTTTTGTATATGAATTTGCGTGGCTTCTGTTGCTGCAGCTAGAGGTCACTCAGGTTAAAACAGTTCATGACCGAAACCCTCAAGTCAAACAAACATCACACGGTGACAAACCCTTCAAGAGCTGCTGCCGCACATGTCTCTTCTTTTTGAACTCGGACAGCTCATCCATGCGCCTCCCGTCGCTCCCTTCCATCTTCCCTCCCCAACCCCGTCCCCACCCATGCACCTCCCGTCTCGCTCCGCTCCATCTTCCCTCCCCAGCGCTCCCCCGTCTCGCTCCGCCCCCTATCCATGCCTCCCGTCTCGCTCCCCTCCGTCTTCCCTGGCCAGCCCCGTCGCCACCCACGCACCTCCCATCTCGCCCCTCCATCTTCCCTCCCCAGCCCCGTCCTCCCGTCTCGCTCCCCTCCATCTTTTTCTCCCCAGCCCCATCGCCCGTCCCCACCCATGCACCTCCCGTCTCGCTCCCCTCCATCTTCCCTCCCCAGCCCCGTCCCACCCATACGCCTCCCGTCTCGCTCCCTTCCCCTCTCTTGCCTTCCCAACTCCGTCCACCTCCACATCCATCTTCCGTCCCCGACAACGTACGCTTTGTCTCGCTCTTCCGCGGCACTAACGACTAAACGAGAACCCAAGCATCGGAGATGTTTTTGGGAAAAATGACTGCAAAAAGAACCCAATCACATGGAACTGGACGAGTTAGGAGTTCTGCTTAAAAACCTGAAGAATGATTCGCCAAACTTGATATTCACATCTACAGTCACTTCATGTCATTTCCAATCCAATTCGGAACCAAAACGGGTTTCACTCCAATTCGCTCCACCAGCCCTAGGGATCCACTGCCACCCTTTGAGATACGGTGAATTGGAAGCACTGTTGTATGTATGTCTCCTGGAGGGTCCAAGTACCTTCTGAGAAAGTACTGGGATGCCTATAGGGTCTCGGGACCCTCCGTTCGGTTCAGCTGTTCGGGGAGTGCCGTTCTTCTATCGTTCCTCTCGAGGCACGAACGCTATTCGGTGCTGCGCTCAAAGTTTGGAGTGAAGCAAGCTCAGCTACGGCCATATTTTCAGGCGAGGGTCTGCAGGAATCCACATTTGGGGCGTTCTGTTTACTTGGGCGATGGGCTCCGCGTCAGTTCGGAAGGCATTCTTTGGGGTACAGTAGAACAAGTCCTCCAAGAGCTCTCGGGTCAGAGCCTCTATGGCTCTTTCCTTTGCGTTAGGTGTCAATAAGTAACCCCGAGATCCCCAACGATGATAACAAATTCTGCAGATCCAAGGCAATTTGTAGCTGATGGGAAGTGGCAGGAGTGGCGAGAAACCTCAGACTCCAGCGATGAAGGTTGCGGATGGATTGACAGTGACTTTATGTAGAAGTATTAGAAATGTGATTCTACGTGATGACAACCTCACTTGGCACTTGGCAAGAGAGTATTCTGAATTCTGCATGCAGATGTCATCCATCAACCTGTGCTCTTCGATAGCCGCCACTGGCTGGGAACCCCCAGACTCCTGGTCCATCTCTTCTTCTTCCCGATCGTCCGGTCCGGTGGCGGACGGGCACCTCCAAGTCTTGTACCTCCAAACCGCTTCGGTCTGACTGGACCCTCCAAACACCCACCGAAACGAAACGGTACGGACCATATAGGCAGCTCGTGCGACTCCCATCGGCTCCAGGGTGCGCAGGGTGCGCAGGGTGCGCAGGGTGGGCTGGTTTCGTTGGACTGTGCGGGGCCGAAGCAAGGGCGAACCTTGGCGGGCCCGACCCCCAATGGAAGGTCTGAGAGTCGACTATGTCTAAAGACTCGTGATGGGCAAGTGTAAGGAAGTCGTGCAAGTTCGACTGGACAAGGGTCTGTCTTTATCCCAAAAAGATTCACACATAACCAGGACCCTCTAAGGGGTGTCCTGGCTGGACTACCCCACACTACCTATAGGCTTCCAGACAGGGCACCCCGACAGGAGGGTCCTGGTATTAACCAGGTGTTGTTTTCTCACCTGGTGGCTTACAAGCTGTTGTGAGATGCCCAGGAGAAGTCACAGGAACCCCCTACACTTGTTCAAAAGCATAACTGCCGAGCCTGGCATTGGCAGCATTCTTGACCATTCTAACTATATACTGTACTACGTAGGAGCATTTGTGATTTCTCTCCCGCTTCAAATCAACGAACCCAATATATAGATCTAATTCTAGTCTAGTCTTCCATTGCCTGACAGGTCCTTCCGGCAGGCCACGATGCCGTGGTGGCGCTTTGCCACGAGCCGGGTGGTGCCATGCCCAAGGTGACTCGGGGCCCTTGGGGCCCTCGGTCTGGGTCACGTGGGCCATGTGGGCTGGTGGGGCAAGCCTGGCCGGTTCAGAAGGTGGTGGTGGTGTGTGGAAGGGTCGAAATGCCGGTGGGATGTGGTTGGACCACTTCACCCAAGCTCCGCAAAGCCCAACCCATGCAAGCCAGAGTCTTGAAGTCCAAAGACTATAATGAGCCCCACCTATATGTGTATATATAGTAAGACCATTCCAAAGATAGTGATTGGACTCCTACCAAGTCAGCTTCTCCAGGCTCTCGTTGTGACCGACCGAAGTCTGTGGCGACTCCGATCACGTCTTCGTCTCGGTCACCGAGGGCCGAGTGGACGGACGGACTTCGCCGGCCACTTGGTCGGTTCGGCCGAACCGTCCACGGTGGACCCATCGGACAGACTGAATGGTCGTAGCGAAAAGATGGGACATGACCCGGCCGGGCGGCCGAAGATAAGATCTGTTTGCACATATACTTTATATACTATTCAGTATATATGTGTGCCATGTTTGGCGAGGTACGAAACTTTGAGACTCCTGGCAGTTCAACGCTTGCTTCATTTTGCTTCTAAAGATGCGGGATGCCAAGACAATTCACGCAAGTTCTCATGCGAGAAGTTGCTTCACGTAGCACAGCCTTACTTGAAGCCGTTGAGTGGCCAAGCTTTTCGCCGAGTCCGGACTGCTTACCAAAGCCTGCCGTCGACTTCTTTGGGTAATCAGCGATGGTAATCATAATGAATCTTTCATGGGGCTACCCGGGAAAATTGGATAACCTTAACATATACCTTAACCCTTTTGGGGAATTGGTTTCCTCGCTGAACAAGAGCATGTGAGGAAAGTTTGGTTCAGTCATTTTCCACACGGCTCGGCCTGACCAGGCCGAGCTCACCCATGGCGTTCTACACCACGCGGCCTTCGTTCTTTCTCCGCCCGGCTGGGCGGTGGGGTGGCACTCTCCGCACAGGTGCCAGGGCCGATGAATAGCAGCGTCCAAGAGGCCGTGGAAGGCTTGACCTTGTCCGGCGTGCCCAGCGAGACAGCGAGACATCCGGACCCACGGAACGACGCGGGACGCGGGAGGTTTAGGGTTGTGGTGGGAGAAGGAGATGGCTGCCACTCTTATTCATTCAGGTCGTTTGTAAGGGTGGTTTGGTGGGTTTCTAGGCTATGAAGATGATTGGTTGTGTTCCTCCACTGCCATGTGCTTTGGAGGTGTCGCAGTGGACAGTTTAAAAATGTTTAAACGCGCGTACTTGGCAGACAAGCAGCGACCTAAAGCTATACGTTTGACAAACTCTGGTGAATCCCAAATCTACTGTAACTGTATAGTTATATATACATGTATATACCTGGGTCTTCAGAACTATGCCCCTTTCTACCTGTTTGAATAAAAACTGCTTGATCTTGTTTATATTTTCTGAATCCGTCCAATGCTCAATACGCTGAATACGCTCCTTTGTCATGGGTTTCTGCTGAGGTTACTAGGGGAGCTCAACACTCGTCGCTGCTCCATCGGTGCCTCGGCACAGCGTGTGTGCCTGCGACTCATGCGGAATGGTGCTGTTTCAACATGGATACCAGCTTGGTAACCTGCTGTTTACCTCCCCAATAAATAGTGTAGAGATATGATGATGATAAGATGATCCAAGTGATGGTCCAGGGTGAGTGTGTATGGAAAGAGATGGGATGGTAGGGTGTGTCCATAAACCATCCAAACTTGGTGGTGGAAAAATATGGAAGAATGATGATGTTGTTTGATTTTTGACTTAAGTTCCGCAGGTGCAGTTGTTGCTTGGTGTGTATGTGTGACAAGGAATCTTCATGCAGGAGGAAACTCATATCATCCAAGGAATCCGAAAGCATTACATCCAGGTTTTGCTGACTGGGTGATTTTTGATATTCCCCTATAGGCCTATAGGCCCTATATGGATGAATCCTCCTTTGGGGAATGTGTTCTTTCATGTTCTTTCTGGGTCCTTGAGCAAATCGACATCCAGGCCATGTCCAGTGAGATACCCGGAAGAGATCCACGTGGAACCTGAACACCACTAGTGGTTGTAAAGGAAAAGTTGTCTCGTCATCAGGTTCCATGTGGGTCTCTTCCAGGTGAGATATTCCTTTTTTTTTTGCGAGGTCGAACACATGACAATCCGTCTTCCTTGCTGGGCGAGCAGAGCATTTTTGGGTGCTCCCCACTCTGAGCCGTGCAAGGCCGCGCAATGGCCTTTTGCATGGATCGTGCGGAGAGCCATGCTGCTTTGCTCTCGAGGCTGGTGAAAACCTATCAATGGGTCTCTGAAGCGGAGGCAGTGAAGTGGCAATGACTCAGAACGACCCAAAGCATGCGAGTGAAAGATGTAATGATCGACAAAGCGAGATTATTGGAGGGGGGTCAAGGTCAATATTCCAGTCTTAGGTGTATTGTTCGGGATGGACTGTTTCTTTTTTCCCGAAGCTCTTTGGTTGCAAGAAAGCTCTCGCTAAGAAGCGAAATGAAGCAAGATTAATCATTGGGAACTACTTTCTTGCAAGCTCCTCGCAAAGCACCGTTGAAAGGCAGGCCATGACCATAAAGAACATCAAGCTTGCCAGCATCACCGAGTTTGGTGGGTATTGGAAGGAACACAAAATCACGGGAGGTGCTGTGTATGTCACTACTTCTATTTGCTTTGAAAAGGTACTTGAAATGGTCCAGGTGCAACCTCCCAATAAACTCCTTCATGTCCAAGTGAGCCTCTCTGGTCCTTTTGGCTTTCGCGCCCACTGAAAACCCCAGAAATTCTGGCCATTGACTCAGCCCTCAACAAGTAGCCGCAAATGCCTGTCAGGTTTGGCGTGAAACGATCCAAAGAACTGATCCTTTTCTCCCAACCACGATCACTCGTTACCACCACCGGAGTAGCCTCTTTGCCAACGGCGTTGTTTGCAACCCCAGAGGAACTTTCGAATTTCGGATCAATGAGAAGGTATATAGGTGCCGACGGCTTTGGGTGGTGTGGGGGTGGTGTGGGGTTGCAATAACGTTCGGTTTGTATTATATACATTCAAGGATACATTCGCTTTGTCGACGGCTTTGGCTCGTAGTTCAAACAGATCATGGGACTTGGTGTTGAAGCTTTGGTTGCTCTTTCGTATGTGTTGCGTTTGTGCTACATTCCCTCTTCATCTGATCCTATTTGGTGTCGTATTTTAACTGTTGACGCGTGGTACCTGGACAGCATTCTGCAGTTGCATTCGTTTCCTCGTGATCCTTGATTGGACTTCACCCATTAGACTCAGATCGTTGGCCGCTGACTTGGTCTGTTCTAGCTCCTGCATGCCTCTTCGTTCAGCCGGGAGATGGAAACTTTTGCCTCCAACGAAGACCGGATGATGAGCTATGTGAGCAAACCAGAAAGATGATCTTTGGAAGGCCACTGGCCGTTTGTGTCGCAAAGCAGGAACTGCACGACTTCAACCCGGAGGGTGCCTTGGAAGGACCAAAAAAGCTTCAGGGCCTTGCAAAAGCCAACACTGTTGCCCTCTCTGTTGAAGCCACCTCAACATAATATCATACTTAGAAGAACAGACTCAGCGCTACTAAATCCCCGTTAGATCCCGTTATGTTATATCCCGTTAATTGCTTCCTTCTAAAATGGTGGGCTTGAGGCCACTTTAGAGCTATCATGAGCTATCATCATTTTGTAGAGATTTCATTTTATTGACCTTACAAAGTGGCACTCCTTTTTGCTTTCCACGTCATTTTGTACAGGGTTTTTTGTTGGGCCCAACCCACACCAGCCATTTTGTAGACAAAAACGTGGCGTCCATGCCCAGCAATTAGTTGATATTAGTTTTAAGTTTTCCAAGTTCAACATGTCTTTTGGAAGAGAAAAAGTTGAAGGTCTCTCATGTTTTTAGATATTTTTCGGGCTATTTGAGTCGAGTCTTCCACAGCGTTTTGTAGAGAATGTATCTCAAATCATTTTGTAGAGAGTTTAATTTATTGCTATTTGAATCAAATCCGAAGAGCATGCTGTAGAGAGTTTCTCAAAGATCCAGATCACAATCACCATAATGTATGTCGGCGAAGCTAGACCGGCTCATCTGGTGACGAGCAGCGCCAGAAGCGTATACGCTGCTGGAAAAGTAGCGCCGAGACAGATGTCGGAGGCAGCGAAGGCAAAGGCGAAGTTCTCGCCGGTGAAGCGGCAGAAGCTGGTGGTGGCAGCGTCGTGACATGTGGTGACCGTGCACCTTCAGCAGTATGCTGTCAAGGGGGACAAGATTTTGAAGGACATGGACGCGGAGCAGTTGCACGCGCGCACTTGGAGTTCGTCGATCAATCGGCCATCGCTGACGTGGGATTGCCTATACATGTGGAGTGAATTTCTGCACCAGGTCGACCTTCACCCCAGCATGGCGCAAGGTCCTGAAGATTGTGGAGCATCCCAGCTTCGCTGAGATGCGGCACGGCCAACCATGCTTCCGATTGGATCGCACCAACTTGTCACGAAAGGTAGCCCTTCAGGGATACCTTGAGTTTGTCTTGCGAAGCAAGTGTGGGCTCCTCCGGATCTAATAATCGATAGTTCAATTCAACCCCCCCTTGGAATTGATTTTTCAATACACCCCCCCCCCCCCCCTTAGAATTGATTTTTCAATTCAGACCCCCCCCCTCTGACCGCTTCATCCCGAAGTGGATCACCTCGACACCTCGATGGTTATTTGGTGTCCCTCTGACCGCTTCATCCCGAAGTGGCTCACCTCGACACCTCGATGGTTATTTGGTGTTGAGCACTCTAAGCTTGGGGCAGTTTTTGAATCCATGAAGAGACATGATATGATGTTTTTAGTGCTTCTTGCCGTTGAGGGTTATCATAGAAATGATGAAGTGGAGTAATTTGTGTACATTTTGTCGTCATCTTCAAAAAAGAAGGGCACCATACTGCAACGAAAACACATTTTTTTCCAAAATATGGGCGGACCTTGTTTGGGAAAACAAAATGAGCAAAGCACAACTTTTCAATCATTGGTGTGTGGTGCTGTGGTTTCGGAACAATTTCGATCAAAACCTCATCCAAACAGTTTCCTCCACTCCACGGCCCCTTAAAAAGGCGCTACCTTGTTTTTCGGGCACGGTCGGGGTGACCTCCAAGACCTCATGGAGCTTTGGCGCTGCTTTCAGGCGCATGTGCAGTGCCCTCTCAGAGCCCCTCCCTTCAGTCGAGGCACTGGCGAGGCAGCAGGTTTCAGGGTGTCGCTTCAGCTCCGTTATTTTCGGATTTGCCTTGGCCCAATGACGTATTAATCCATACCCAGGAAGTTCGGAGGATTACTTGCATTTTTCCACTTCAAAGCGGCTGAATTTTTTTTTGTTCACCCCTTTTCCACCCCCTGGTCCCATTGCATCCTCCCCTTGGCCTGGTTTTGCTTAGGGCGATTCTTATTTTCCCTTTGGATCTTTGGGAAATCCTCATTTGGGCCATCGTTTTCCGTGCTTCCTTGACAGCAAACCCGAGCTCAAACAAGTCGGCTGAGCGGTTCTTTTCGTCGCGGTTGGTCCTTTGAGAAACTGAAAAAGACCGACGATCCGCGACAGACGTCGTGGGAGAGTGGGAGCTACCTGGGAAATCAATGGGATCATTTGCAGGTCACTTATTTGCGCTTATTTGTGGGGTACATTTCCAGCAGAGGTTGAAGACTCCTATAGACTATCCTACAGTCAGAGGCAAACGGAAGGGTAGTGCACAGAAAGGGTTTTGCAAACACCTATTCTACTAACATCGTGGAAGGCGCGGGACATTCGTAGAACCCAAGGCTATTCGTGGACAGTTTGTGGAATGGTGGGCCAGTAGGAAAACTGACTGCAACGAAATCCCAGAAACCTTCGCAGAACTTCGTGGAAGGTATTTTTGATGCACTAACTTCGTAAAAGCGATTTTTGCTGACCCCCTTTCTCCACACACCCTCCATTTAGCCTTCATATAGGTACCTCTGTAGGGTCCTATAAGGTCACTTAACCTCTGTTGGTTTGGGAACCAAATATGATTAGGTGGCACGGAAACGGTCAACCAAACTTGTTTTTGCCACCCAACCCGTTTGCTAGGTGTTTGACCCTGACAACTAGGGTAGCAGTTTGCTCGCTTGAATGTTCACCTTTGGGCAGGGAAACTGACGCGACTATCGATGTTGAACAACCCAAACGGAAGTTTCAGGTGTTTGTGTTTGTGTGTGTTTTATTCTGAGTTGTTGCGCAGATTCTACCTGGTCAACGACGTCCTGCACAATGCTGCATCGGAGAAACCAGGTGGGGATCGCAAAATGATTTTGACATGGAGAGTGACCCTATTGAAACCAAACATGTTTTTTTCCCCAAACAGTTTACTGTTGGGGGTTCTCAATTCTTTCTTCAGATGTGTCCGCCCTTTGTGTCACTGCTGGTGTCCGCCCTTTTCCGCTGGCCATGTAGCATTTCTATTCGTTTGTCTCCCAGGTCTGTCACTGCTGGTGTCCGCCCTTTTCCGCTGG